TTAAAATCAAACAAGCAAGCCCTGTCCAGATTTAAAAAGTAACTCAAAAGTAACGTAACGCATTACGTTCCATAAAAAAGTAACTAAGTAACGTAATTAGTTACTTTTTTATGGAGTAACGCAACATTGTAATGCATTACTTTTAAAAGTAACTTTCCCCAACACTGTATAGGAGTATAAAAATGAAATGAAGTAATCTTTTAATAAGTGGCTGATGCTGAGCCTCTGGCTGGTTCTCTCTTGTTCGCTACAGAGTCATCAGCTGCTCCCTAAAAACCACAGAAACAAAGCGCTTGTGCTCCACACTTACGAAGCTGTTTATTTATTTCCACTTAGCTGATGTTTTGTGTTCCATATTGTAGTTTTTCATAAACACGTTCCACCTTTTCTGACCCTGGTTAATTAAACGAGTTGTTTTCGACCGGTTAACCTCTAGTATCTAGTGTGCTTCACATCGTGCTTCACGCTGAGGCCAGCTGCTGGATTCAAGAAGAAAAGACCACATTTCACCCAAACGCACAAGAAAAACAAACATCTTCTGCATAAAGAAAATAACCATGTTTTTGGACCTATTAGGATTATTTTCTTGACCATTAGACGCATTGTGATTTTCGTAATGCTGTATTATTTTTGTTTTTGTGTTTCATAAACTCATTAAGACATTTCAGAGCAAATATGACTAAATATAATAAAGCTATACAGTTATTAAGAAGAAGAATAAGAATGATAAATTGTCCAGATGCTTTCTTGAAGTCATTAAGATATTTCAGATAAAATGTTGAAACCATGAGAACATAGCAAATATTGTGAGTAGGGATGCACCGATACCACTTTTTCCAGTACTCGCCCGATACCGATACTTTTATTTTTGGTACTTGCCGATACCGATGCCGATACCGATATTTTTATTACATTTGTAAATTTTTTAAATATTGGGTACAGAAACCAAAAGGGTATGTATAATGTTAGTTGGTTAACTTCATTTATCAAATAGATACAGTCAAACCAAAATCTATT